ACGATACTATCTTGAAGAACACCAGCAGACTGGGAAAAAAGTGATGAATAAGAGTTTCTGTGATTTGCTTAAAAGCATCTGTCAGTAAGATAGAAGCAGATATGAGGAAATTTTAAATTTTTAGTATAATGACCTAAATAGGCAATATCATACTAAAATTCTACCTCCAATGTTGCAGCTCTCCAAAGCTCTTGATTTCTTAAAGGCTAGAAAAGTCACTTTTTTTAAAAGCTATATACTTACTGTGTAAAGTATGTTTAATCAATCCGCTAAAAAGTACTTAAAGTTTTTTTGAGCCTATGAAGTGATCGATATTTAACTTTGACTGCTGTAATTACTAAGTTGGATCGTGAATGTTTTGAAACAATTTGAGCACAAAATAATTTTAAAAAAAGATATTATCATTTGATTATCTCGATTGTTAATTAATTCGAAATGAAACGAAGTCAGTTTTCTATCACACTACATATACATGGGTTTTTTTTTTTATTTGTTTTCCACCCTCCCATGCCACGAGGGCAACACGGGTGTATGCAGTAGTGTGATGTTAAGCACTAATGCATAATAACACACTACTGCCATAATATCAGTTTACAAATTTCTAAGCTGTGCACACAGCTAGCTCTTCTACTTTTTCCTGGCTCCTTTAGGCCTGGCTTCCCGAATCCGGAGGTCTTCCTGGGACTGGTCCTCTTCTCCTTCTGTGTGCACCTAGGTTGAGGTGAGCTGGGCCCACCGCCGTCTTCCAGCCATTTATAAAGTCTTTGAACCGCGGAAAGTTTTCTTCACTCACCAACTGAGGAAACTCCTCCTCAGTGAGGACGTAAATTCCCGTCGTTCTCATTAACCTCGCTCTTAATTCGTCGAAAGCAGTGCAGGCCGTGACCACATGCTCAACAATCTCCGGAACACCACAAGCGGGGCAGTGGGGATCTATATCCTGTCCGAAGCCATGGAGTTTAGCTCTGAAACCCCCATGCCCCGTGAGAAATTGTGAAACCCAATAGTCCGGGAGGACCCATTTCGCCTGTAACCGAGATTCAACGATGGGAAAGTATTTTCTTAAGGTACTGCCTTTCGGAGTCGTCACCCACCGTCTGCTCCAATCTTCAATTGTTTCCTCCCGGATAATCTTTTTCCATTTATTTGGGTTTTCAATAATCCTCATCCGTAGGTTCTCCGACAGACTAGTTGAGCCCTCCTTCTTGTAGTCGTACCTGGTCACTTCTTCTCGCAGGAGGAGGTCGAGAGGCCACACCCCCGCTAAGACCTGCACTGCTTCATACGACGTAGACCTATATGCTCTGGTGACCCGAAGCAGAGCAGTTCTCTGAGTCGAGTGGGCGGGGTAGCCGAATGGGCTAAAGCGTGTGCACTGCACCGCCGTTGCCTGGCAACCTGACATATGAATCGAAGATAAAAATAGTCACGAGTTCGCGTCCCGGTGCCGGGGGAGTCTTTTAAATCCCCGCTCACACCCCCTGGCCCGGGAAAATCCCGTATAGCCTTAGCGGCGAGGAAGGGAAGGACCCAAAAAAAAAAAAAAAAAAAAAAAAGTTCTCTGAGTCGATGCTAGCCTATTTCTTTGTCTGAGTGTGAGGTTTCGGAACCAGAAGGGAGACGCATACCTAAGGATACCCTCCACAACACCCTTATAAATAGTGATAGTGGCTGGATACCTAAGGCCCCAAAATGCGCCCCCCACACGATTTAGACCGTTCATTGCTAGGGCCACCCTACCTGCCAGATATTCCAAATGAGGCGTCATATTGAGGCCTACACCTAACCTAACCCCTAGGTAGGTTACCATCTCACTTGGACGTATCCTCTGGCCTTCTATGTACATCGTTATAGGGTGTGCCCTATCAGTCTTTCCCTTAAGGAGAATGGCTTGAGTCTTGGCAGCAGCCATCCTCATCTTCTTCCCCTCACATCATCTAGCGACTAAGCCGGCGCATCGCTCTGCTTCTCTCTTGACTCCAGCTCTGCTGTTGGAGGCCACCACAGCAGCTAGGTCGTCAACGTACGCAGTGGCAGGAAACCGCTCCTCCTCTAACACTCCCAGTAACTCATCAAAGACGAGCTTCCATAGAGCTGGGCCAAGCACCGATCCCTGAGGGCAACCTCTCTCTATGGAAGCTTCTACCTCGTAGTAATTGCCTCTAATCTTGACACTTCTATCCTGGAGACAACTTCTTACTAGTGTATATAAGTTATTAGGAGCATCATACCTCTGCAGCTGCTGGAGCACGCTAGGCCACCATACGCTGTCAAAGGCGGAGGATATGTCGAAAAGAAGCAACATGACATACCGCTCCGCCCTCTCCTCAACATCTCTGCGCACTCTCAGCAATGCATCAGCGGTCCCTCTGCCTCTGGTTGATCCATATTGCCGTGGATGACTTGCTCTAGCGAAAACAGGCCGTAAACTAGTCATCATGAGGTTCTCCAGGACCTTGCTAATCACAGGGAGGAGACATATAGGTCTATATGAATTAGGGAGTTGTTTGTCCCTATCTCCTCCCTTGTAGAGTAGTCTCAAATCAGCGATCTTCCATCTTCTTGGAAAGTATCCCATATCCAGACATTCATTGAAAATACTCAACAGCCGGTCTTCAATATACGTGATACTGTTCCTCAAGATCGCTGCATCTATTGCATCAAGTCCTGGAGCACGATTAGTCTTCTGCTTATCCACGGCAATACGAAGATCGTGAATGTCCCATGGTGGGCACAAATCTGAACCAGGTGGATATACCGTGGTGCGTCTCACAAAATCATCATTTTCGCTGTCCTGGGTTGGGTCATCTCTGGTATATATTGCTTCAATGAAAACATTGGCAGTTTCTTCAAGGGTGGTTGCCTCAGTATTATGATACCGCAAGGCTGCAATAGTCTGCATCGGGGACAACTTACCCAATGCTACCCTATACGGAATACCCCAGGGATTCTTCATAGACTCTTCAATGATGAAATCATCCCAAGACTTCCGCTTTTGTGAGCGAACCTCGTTTCGGTATATCCTGGCTTTTGAATTGTATTTATTGCGAAGTACAGTGCGCCTCTCTTCGCATCTGCACCTCTGATATGACCGCCGGGCCTTGTAGAGGTCTCGTTTTAGAACAGATAAGGCTGGCATCCACCGAACAGGTCGAACCCTCGCCTTCCGGTGCTTGAGGGAGTGTTCGGCAGCATCACGAATGTTGTTGGTAATCCTGGACACCTTGTAGTCCAGATTGTCGACTACATCCATCCCTGCCGCTTCCCACTCCTCGTCTGCAATCACTCCTTCCAGGTAGGACCTGAAGACATTCCAATCATTTATTTTAGTGACGAAACCCTTATCAGTACCGTGGGAACATCCTGGCTCATTTACCAGGCCAATTGCTATCGCAACGTGATCGGAACTCGTATCAGATCTGAGAGTCCAATCAGCAATATACCTCGTAAGCGCAGGCGTGGCGATCGTGACGTCAATCCAACTCTGCCCCATGCCTCCAGAGAAGGTAGGGGTGGCAGAGGGTTCGTTCATCACGACAAGGGGATTTCTGCCGATGAAATTTCCCATTTTAGCGCCTCGCCTGTCAGTAATATTGGACCCCCAGACCGTGTTCCAGGAGTTGGTATCTGAGCACATGATCACATTCCTCATCTCTCTAATGATCGCCTCCATAGCGGATATGCTTTCTTCTACATCACTATTCACAGGTAGGTATGCCGATACCAATGTGAAAGAAATCTTGCCCCACTTAACATAGCAAGATGCATAATCAGCCATGGTGTGTTGTCTCAGATCCATCACGTCAAGGTTAGGATTATTAATCACTATTGCAGCCCTGGGCCTCCTCTCTCCACTGCTCAGGGCTATAACTCTTGACGTGAGGCCAAACCCCGTAACCCTGTTCCTACGGCAGCTAGGTTCCTGGACCGCCATGATATCGTAGCGTTGTGCCATGGCGCGAAGCTCGTCAGCCACAATATACCGGCGGCCCATATTCAACTGCAGGATGTTGAGTCTAATCATAGTGAGTTCTCCTCACTAATTCTTGAGATCTCTTGATGTGCACTGGGCATTCTCTACTTCCTGCCTGGTGTTTAGCCTTACTTTTTTGAACACCTTCCCTCACGCAGTTAACGCATGTAGGTGCGGTCTTATTTCCTTTTGCGGGACAGTTTTTAGCAATATGCCCACTCGCCGCACACCACTTGCATACTATGCCATTTGCCTCACAAGTAGCTTTTGTATGTCCATATCCCTGACACCTTAGACAGGGAGGAGCATCGGGGTAATCTAAGATTGTCAGTGACCACCAACCTCCTATAATTATCTCCTCCTTGAGTAGATTATATCTTACCATTGGATGTACTTCTAACACCCAATTATTGGTAATTTTATTTCTAGCCATTGATGAGAACAATGGCTTTATATTACCTAATTGGATCTCAGAAATAGCGGCCGATTTTGCAGCCAACCTTTCCCATAGCACCCTTTCTAGATTTTCCGCAGTCCATGAAAGGGGAACTCCTTTTACCTCCACTTTTGGTTTCCTTTTTAAGGCTAGTTTTGCCTCCATCCCAACTTCTTTTAATTTTTGCCATTCAATTATTTTTTTCGCGTGGGCACCCTCATCTACACAAACTAAAACTGAGCCAGCTTTGGTCGCCCGTACAACTCTCGCCTTGACTGCTAGTTCAGTTGGAGAAGGCAGATTGTTGATGATGTCAGCTGCACTTTTACCTTGAGAAGCGATGGTAACATAAGTTGGTCTTGTAGTATCCATCGGTTTTAATGGAAGCCCTTTAACAATATCGGCCATCGTAGTCTGATGTGTAGACCTTTTCTTGGTCAAACTTTCCTCTGCTATAGGTTTAGAGGCCTCGCTCTCTTTGGCCACTTGTGGAAGAGCCTTTTTCCTTCTTTGCTTTTTCTTTACTTCCTGGAAACTTTCATTCTCCGTGGTCTCAATAAGGGCATCGGCTAATAGCGGTTGTTCTTTAACTCATGGAAACTCACGAGATGTCTGAGGTTCTGACAGTGGTCTTTGTATGGTTTTACTTTCCGTCTTGATTCCCTCGATAACCATAGGTACTGCTTTTTCCACTAATGCATTTACTATGATATCATACATTTCAGAGGAAGCTAATGTGTCCTTTACCACACGTTGTACTAAAAACGTTTTTTATAGTTCTTATCATATATTGTCTCCATTATATCTATTAACTGCTGAATTTTCCCATTAACGTGCTTTTGTACCTTCGCACTCACGTTTCTGTCTGTTGCGTTCATGTAGACCCTGATGTTTTCTTTGATTCTACGTCCATCTTGCAGAAGACTATCGTCTACACGTTCTTTATCTGTTTCTTCTCGGGCGTCAGGAGATCCTTTCCTTTGCCTCTTTGCTGAAGGCCTTGGGCACTTTATAGCCTGTTCTTCCACCATTTCCTGCTCCATTGCTGATGCAATTTCATCAGCCATCTTACGCAATCCAAAATTAGCAACTTTATACGTTGAAATAATGGGTGAACAACAGTAGAAGGAAATATTCAACACTAAAAATCTAACCTACGTTCGGGAAACTTATAAATTTCCTATCTTCAAAAGTAAGACTTTAATATGAACTTACCTTAGTGCTTCACCAACGTAATAGTCTCTAAACGTCCTTTTGGTTAGATTAAACCTTCGTGAAAACCACAAAGTTAACCTTAACCTCCACTGTTCACTCAAAAAGTTTATAAAATTAACTAAATAAACATAAACTAAAACTAAATCATGTTCAAAAAACTATAAAACACTAAAATAACACAAACAGTAGGAAACGATACAACAAAACTAACAGAACAAACTTGAAAAATACAAAACACTGAGAAGCACAATAATACCTTATCATAGGTAGATAACCTTCTCAAAAAGCCCACTCAGCCATTACAGTTCAACTAAGCAATTTCAATACAATAACATATACATGGGTTGAAATGTATTTGCATTGAGACGTTATATTTAGTGCAAGGATCTCGACCACTACACTAAGTTTAAATATTCGTATATATCAATTCACATATCAATCTAGTAGATGTTTAAATAGATAAGGAGGTTGATTTTCTCAGGGTGGATAAAATTTCTCAATTTCTGTAGTCGTTTGTTTTTCAAAACTAAAATGTATATTTTTAATAAAAATAATGTTAGAATAAACTTAATAATATTTTTAATAAATTTTAGCATTGTCATGCTGTGTAAAAAGAGTAATTTTCGCGGAGTTATAAACATATATTTCCTAGTTTGATTTATCACAAAAACCAACTCTGTTGTTCGTCGCCTATTATTTATATAGGCTCAATTCTTGATAATAATCTGTGGTACAGACGGCTGTCCATCAAATTATTAACATTCACCTGAAACTTCGTGAATAACTTTATCTTACCGTAAACTAAAACTTTTTTATTTAAGAAAATTCTCAGAATTGGGGCGTTTTCAATCTGGAGATCGGCAAACTTTGTCTATTTGATTAGATACTAAAAAAATCATGAACAACCAAATGGCTTTCTACTCTAATCGTCACTAATCGAGAATAAAGACGGCCAACAAAAATATTGGACGATTTGGTGTGACTTCCTTCTCCAGCATGTCAACATATATAGGCCAAACGACCCAATAGTTTTGTAAACCAAATTTTTTTTTTCGATTTTGTGATCAAACGATCTTACGATTCAAGTGGAAAGCAAATGGGTATTTATGAATTTGGATAATTAATTAAATTAATTAGGTAATTGAGAAAACGCTCCATTTCTGAGAATTTCCGTACATCAAATATTTATTAATTACTATAAGATGAAGCCATTCACGAAGTTTTAAGTGGATGTTAATAATTTGATAAATTGGGTCTGTATCGCAGACTATAATCCGATTATTGAATTATTTAAAAAAAAAAAATAGGGGTAGTACCTTCGAGTGGGTAGGAAACAGAAAGAAGCATACTATTGATTTTCTTGATAGTAATGATATATTTTTTGGAAGCTTTTTATAATTAAAAAAAGAAACTATATCGAAACAGATATACACAAATATGCACGTGATAGATTTCTTTCTTCGCTCATTCGTTTTGGATATTCATTAACATCGCTACAATTTTGATATACTTTCAATATTCTGGAAGTAGCTACTAGGATTTTCATTAGTGACTGGTTCTGTAATGACAAGGTAAGATCGATTTATGATGTTGCCTAAGAGGCGAGCTGACATCGATCGTGATACTCCGGTCAGTGGGAGGCCCATTGATGCCCGCGTTGCCCCTGGAGACCCAACCACAACACAACTCTTCACTCAATCAGAAGCCTTGCCCCAGTCCATAAGGAACGCTGTTGCGACCTTATGTTCAGATGGTGTTGGTCAGTAAATGTCAAGGAGATGAATTTCGCTCTGGGGTTTCAGAATCTGCTCTGCTGGATCGAAACATTGCTATGATGTTACGAGACGTAAAAGGGTTCTCCCAAATTTATATCTCATGATCCACGAAACCTTTTTGACTCAACATCATTCAAATAGCATATATTCAAAATTAGGTCTATTAACAAAATAGTTCACGGTTTTTTAAAACTGTACTGTTGTGTTATACTTCTTTCTGTAGTTTCTTCTTTCCCAATTACTTCTCACATCCTAAGCAGACGCTCTGCGTTAATAGAATTATTCGTAGATATAAATTCCCGTATCTATCTGCCAAGATGTTTCAGTAGATAAGGATCTACATTTTCTCAGGGTGGATAAAATTTCCCATTTTTTGTGGTCGAGTATTTTTTAAATTAAAATATATATTTTTAATAAATATATTAATTAAAACATTGTTATAATAAACTAAATAATATGCTTAATAAATTTTAACAGTGTCATTCTGAGTAAAAAGTGTAATTTTCGCGGAGTTATAAACATATATTTCCTAGTTTGATTTATCACAAAATCCAACTCCGTTGTTCGTCGTTAAGTGTATTATTTATATAGGCTCAATTCTTGATAATATTCCGTGGTACAGACGGCTGTCCATCAAATTATTAACATTCACCTCGATCTTCGTGAATAACTTTATCTTCATGATCCACGAAACCCTTTTGACTCAACATCATTCAAATAGCATATATTTCAAATTTGATTTATTACCAAAATAGTTTACGGTTTTTCAAAATATTATTGTTGTGGAACACTTCTTTCTGTTGTTTCTTCTTTCCCGATTACTTCTCACATCCTAAGCAGACGCTCTGAGATAATAGATTTATACATTATTTGTTATCGAGAAGATTTCACTTTTTTTTCTTCATCTAGTTTCCACAGGTTTTATTTCCACGGGTTTCGTTCATCAGCGAATATTAATATGCGAAGGAGTTCCGCATTTGCAGATTGCAGATTTCATGATTCATGATAAAAAAAAATCCAGTGCATACTGAACATTAATATATGTAAACATTGACAATAAGAATAATTATAATTATATTATAGTCCGTTTATAAATTGGCCGTATGAAGTTTATATATATATATATATATATATATATATATATATATATATATATAATATATATATATATATATATATATATATATATATATATATATATATATATATATATATATATATATTGGCAATAAGGCGCGATGTATAATATAGATTTTCAAAGAAATTAAAAATTTGTCCGAACTGTCGTTTTGTTCAGTTTATTTTATGTTGATATAAAATAATACAATCTGAACTACAGATTACATGAAAATTACAATTTGAGTATCGAGAAGTAAAATTAAATGAACAGTTGTATAATTTTTAAAATGTGCGTTGGGTATCCCTCCTAATATTTAATAATTTTATAATGATGTGGCGTCCAAAGAAAGTAGTAATTATGGTGTTAGCCAAGATACTTTTTGGTTATCTATTAGGTTTTCCAATCTCTTCGTCTAGAATGGGCTAAGTGAATAATATCATGCTAAATAACATGTTTAACAATTTTTTATTTTAAAAACAATTTTCTTATTATTTTTGTTTTATAGTTTTGTCAATTCTTTTACTATAATATATTTAGTAAATATATTAAAGTAAAAAAAAATAAAATACCAAATTCGTAAAAAAAATGTAAGTATAACCAAATGATTTTTTCTCGAAAGTATGTAACCTATCTTATAATTTTTTTTTTTTATATTTTATTTCTTTATTCAGTATTATAACAATCTGTCTCTTGGACATTGCTTATAGTGAGGTAGTATGACATTCACACTATATGTTCAAAAAGAATAAAATAAATAGAAACAAAATAATAATAAAAAGTATATACAATAGATAATGAAATAAAATAACCTAAAAAATAAGAAAATTAAAAATAAGAGCTACATCGTCTCTTAGAATTTGCTTATTTTGTAGTGAAATCTTTGAGATTTTTTATTCAAAACAAGTCAAGAATACATAACAACAATTGATATTTATTGTTTGTTATAAATTATAGGGTTATTTTTAATTTATTTATATTTTTTTTTTCATTTTTTTCCCCTTATATGCGATATCACAATCAGGCCATGTCTAGTAGAGCTTCCATCAAGAGAATTCGGCCGTTAGGCTCAACACCTTGTTCTTCGCCTGTCAAACAAAAGCCTCGTCAATGTCGTCAAACACCTGCAGTAACGCCTATTAGCTCCAGAGAAAATGAAACCCAGCAAGGAACATCATCAAAACCAACAATTGAAGAACTTCAGCATCAACCAGGTACATCTTCACAAGAGATAACCGAACAATCTCCGTTTTTCACCCCTAACCCCTATCAGGTGCTTCAGAACGCACCAAGAAGAGGACCTTAAAAAAAAATTGACCCAACGGTGTCTTTTGCACACTTATTAGGAGGTAAGAATGATGTTACTTATTGTGAGACCCTGCCGCAACAACAACACATACCTCAAAATTCTCAACCCCACCCTCAACATCCTAATCAAACTTCACCTAATCAACAGTTTTATCAACACCAAATTTCCCGCATTCCTCCTCCCTCAAATACCACAGATCTCACCAGTTTACTTACATCTTTCCTCTCCGAATTCAGATCCCTTGTTACTCCTTTGATATCTCTTCTCACCAATCTTGTATCACATTTTATCCCTCCCGCGAAAAATCCTTAAATGACTTCCAATAAACCTTTATCCATTCTCCTTTGGAATGCGAATGGTGTTAGGAATCACACAAACGAACTAACTACATTATTACTTGACAAAAATATTGACGTGGCACTAATTACTGAAACTCGACTAACCACTAAACAGCACTTCAAAATACCACAATACCTGACATATCGTACTGACCACCCTGACGGAAAAGCACATGCCGGTACTGCTGTCATTGTACACCAATCCCTCTCCCATCACCTACTCCCGTTACCTACACATGATTTCCTACAGTCCACCGCTATCGTGATAAAAACCTTTTCCTTTCCGGTTACCCTTGCATCAGCGTATTGCCCT